TACTTAGAGCTGACAAAACACGACAGACAGTACAATGCACCAACAATTGATGAAGTGGCAATTGTTATGGTTGGCGAAAACTTTTACTAGCGAGATATAATTCTTCATCGCAGAAATTTTATGGCGACACAAACATATATTTACTTTGAAAACCAATACGCGTAAACAACTACAACATGATGCAACTGCTGAACATTTTGCAAAACATTTGTTAAATATTGGGAATGGGACAATGCCAACCAATGAATCCACACGATGTATCACATTACCAACAGACTTCTGTAAAATTACAGCTACCACAGACGAATTAATTCACAAAGTTTTTCCTTATATCACACAGAATTTCAAAATTATCAATGGCTCAGTGAACATGCTATATTAGCAGCTACAAACAACGATGTGTATGCCATAAATCCGAACATTCAAGACAATTTACCAGGCAGAGTGACAACTTAAAAGTCAGTCGATACTGTAATGAATCAAGACGAGCTTCTCAATTATTCAACTGAGTTCTTGATTTCACTTTATTTGCCAGGCATGCCACCCCACGTTTTAACCTTGAAAAATGGCGTGCCTATCATTCTTCTCAGAAACATCAATCGACAATATCTTTGCAATGGAACCAGGCTTTCAGTGAAAAAAGATGATGCCCAATATCATCAAAGGTACAATTTTGAATGGACTATTTAAAGGCCAGGATAAACTGTTACCATGCATCCCAATGATTTCAACAGACATACCATTCGAATTCAGACGCCTGCATTTTCCGGTGCGACTCGCCTTTGCAATGACAATCAACATATCACAGGGACAATCACTACAAGTGTGTGGACTACATTTGGAATATCTATGCTTTTCACATGGACAGCTATGTGTGGCCTGTTCACGGTTCGGAAAACCTTCTGATTTATTCGTGTCGCACCAGGCGGAAAAACTATGTTTGGGCGGTTGCATTATAGGGCTGTCATACCGGAGAGCTGGGTTTGACCGCCGGAAAAGTGTTGCTGTTGTGGGAAAGATACAAAGACTACCGGAGTGAAGACATCCTACATTGCTGGCGTGAAACGAAGCAAGATTTCTATTTTCTTTCTTTTCAGTGTAGCCAAACTATGGCAAAGCAACGCGTGGCCGGGTACAGATAGTATTTATACATATATATACACACACACACACACATCTGGACCAACTATTCGGCCGAATACGAATAGTGAATCATCATCATCAGGTGCCTTTCCGACTGGCATGGGCGATTATGCCACGCCACAATCTGTGATCTCCTTCAGCATGCATTAGTTCGTGTGCTAACACACCTCCATGCCATGCAACAAGACTGTCAAGAATCTTCTCTCTTTGTCTTCCTCTATCCCTCCTCCCACATATCCTTCCAGTAGTCACCACGTGTTCCATTTTGCCTCATCTTATAACATGGCCGAAAACATTATGACTGTCTCCTTCTCATGTCTGTGAATAGTTGTCTTCGGGCTCCCGCCTCTATCAAAACCTCTTGGTTGCTTTTTGATTTGGCTGTCCAAGGTATTTTGAGCATTCTTCTATAAAACACATCTCTAAGCCCTCAAAAAAATTGTCCAGGACTTACAGCCAAATATTAAAACTGGATGTATTTAGCAGGTAAGAATTCTTTTTCTAACCTTCAATGACAAAGATATATTGCATAAGATGTTTTTCATTTGATAAAATGCCTTTTAGCCTGTCCTATTCTGTTTCTTTTTTCAGTAATGCATCTTCCATCTGATGTTATCCATGTGCCCAGATACTTAAATGTCTGTACTTGTCCCAAAATAAAACCATTGACTTTTATTACACATTTAGGAATAATTATTTTCTATGATACCACCATTAGTTCTGTCTTCCCACTATTCAAACTGAGGCCCATCCTTCCACTTTCGTGTATAGTACAGAATAGTAAACATTTAAAAACATTTCATGTTATGCATCCTTTAGTCAGTCAGTATGTGGTAACTAATACCTAGGAATGAAAGTATTCTTAGTTTTATAACAAGTAATTAAACTTGTAAATTGTCAATGACAGCTTAGTTAATCCACTAAAGCGGCATTAGCTTTCAAAAAAATCGTTCCATGTTGTCAGCATTAAGGCAGCTTCTTGTTTCACTGAAGGTATTTTCAGCTGTACTAAACAGACGTTCACTTGGTACGCTCGTAGGTGGTGCACAAAGATAACGCTTGACAGTATGAACCATGGTGGGAAATCTTGATATGTTTATTTTCCACCAGACCAGAAACGGGTGTAAAGTAACCACTATTCGTATTCGGCCCGACTGCAACTATTTGGCCGAATACCGAATAGTTAACGGTCTATTCGGCCCCAAAGCGAATACGAAGCGAATATTCGGTACAGCCCTAATATATATATATATATATATATATATATATATATATATATATATATATATATATATATATATATATATACACACACACAAAACCACACACACAAATACAATTTACTCACCTGTACCAAGTAATTATATTAGTAATGATAAGATTATTATCTCCATACATGGAAATCACTCACGTCTTTTTTTTTAATTCTAAGCTGTTCGGAACGTGAACTGAATAAGGGAGAGAATCGCTTTGATTACTAAGGCTCTCGAAAAGTATTTAACAGTTTCAGTGGCAATTATTTTTTTTTTTTTTTTCATTTTAATATGTAACATTTTTCTTTTCATTACATTCTCGGTCTTGTTTCTGGTTGCTGATGTTGTGATTTGGTTTTTGTCATTTAAATTGTGTAATTTTAAATTAGGTCAGCAAACACTTATCAACGGAGGCCAGAGTTGGCAGGCAAGTATGATGTTTATTACAGGACGACTTATGTCATCAAACTGTATGGGACAATCTCAGTGCCTAGAAACACCTTTTTCGGTGATAGACTATGCATATTTGTGTAGGTCTTAAATACAAATGTGCTGGTATGAGAGAAGAACGATATTGTCCTCTATCCGAGATAGCTATCTTCCTGTCGGAACTCTGTTTCATATCTTCTCTGCTGACATAACACTGGTGTTGCACAGATTCTACCACAGTCTCAGAATCCTTAAAGCAGGCCTCTGTTAAATATGGGTGTATAGAGTTTAAGTAGGGACTAAGCATATGAGTTTGAGAATACTGCTAACCCTAGTGTTCCCTTTTTCACAGGATGATATCTCCGTGGAGGCCAGGCAGTTAATCACAGTCGACCAAGCCACCAGCTTAGTTACGGCCAGCAGCCAGATAATAGCACCATGGGTCCTGCCGACAGCTTTGTCCAGACGGTCAGGAAGTGACCAGTGTTTCCAGTTGGAGAGATCCATCCTCAGAGAGCTAACTTGAGAAGCCATAGGTTGCCTGCTATTTGTGGTGACAATTGTTTGTGCCAAATTAACTGTCATACAAAGTGTATCTTTTCGATAGAATATACTATCTTGTTTAGCTTGATCTATCCAATGTGCAGTTTCTGAGATGTGAAGGAACAGACCATTCCAGTGATTTGTTTTCCAGCCGCCCCAGTTGGTGTGGTGCAGGTGTTGCTGTGGACTAGACCTGGAGGAAGATAAGTTCATCATTACTCAGTGCCAGGTTCCTAGATTCGCTATCCTCACATGTGCCATGATGACATTGGCTGCTACTGGGAGCAATCCATGTTATAGTCAACTCTGACTTGTCTGTGATTTCTGAATATCAATGATTTTGTTGATTCCTTTTTGTGTTATCCATATCTGTATATGTTGAACTTATTACAATATGTTTCATGGAGTCTACCTTCTTGGTTTAGTATCCATCCTTCGATGTTCCTAGTTGTCAAGAGTGTGTGTAATACCATTATATTGCCGAGTTTGATCCCAGCTGCAGGCCATGCGCCTTGTGTTGGTTTCGACAGTGGTAACAAGAAAGCCGACCGTCCAGAGGCAATGACATACTACTTGACGTAAATTTGCCTAGAAAAACCACACAACAGCCAGGAGCTGTTGGGGTTGGTTCTGCAACATCCTGTAAAGGATACGCAGCTAACTGATATTTGACTAGAATAGGAGGCTATCTAGTCTGGGGCTGCATAAGTAGTGAGGAAGTTAGGCCAAGTTGCGCCTAGGAATATTTTATGTTCTGTAGTGTCATAATTTGCGTCGCCTCAACCCTGAAGTAGCGGGATTCCGCCTAGACCATTGCGAGCCAACATATCAACATTTTATAACTACTTCGGAGTGCTACTTGGTTTTTTAGGGGAAACCCATACAAAGGCACGTGACACCAGCAGTATGTGACCCCCCCCCCCCCCCCCCTCCTCCCGCGTTTCTGCTTTTTGATGTGTCTGTTTAATGTTATTTTATGTTTATTACCTAGGTGGTATTGTCCTTTTTTGTCCGATCGTATTTGTAATTTGTTGCTCGACGATCTGTTGGATGTCTGTTTTCTTTTGTGATGTTTGTGGCTACTTGCAGTCTGGTAGCTAGTCACATGTCCTAGTACAGTGTTCCTAACCCCTCCTTAATGTCGACAAATGAACCAGTGACGTCACTCAGATAAATATATTCTGCAGCAGCCCAACATGGCTGTCGAGCACTCATGTTAGAGTGTCGGACACATCTGCTCGTCGGACCTAAATGTTTTTGTTACACCCAGGCTGATCAGTAATCACTGCGTTTCATTTTAGATGGAAAATCATATTTCTTTTTATTATTATTATTTTAAACCATTTACGACTGATTTATTAGTGTGCATTATTGCGTCACAAACGTTAGCACTATATAAATTGTCGATTAGGCTCTTTCCTCCCATGACACCATTTTCGGAATACGCAAAACACATTTTATTAAATTAATTCTTACATAAAAAGGATACTCTATGTAAAGTTTCCACTGTGGTGAAAAATGTGTATACTTTGCTATTTTTTTTTTTTCTCATTTTTTTTTTCCATTTTTCTTTTCTTTCCTTAGGGATTTGTGTTCATTGTGATTGCAGTCGTCAGTATTGGAGTCGTCAGTATGGGAAAGGAAACCTACATCGAACTTATCATACAGTTCATGACTAACAATAATCACACAGGGATTGATTTCAGGGAGCCGTTCGTCAAACCATCGTTGCGCTATGTTTATCCCTTATTTATGTTTCTCCATGCTACTGTAGGAGTTGTTGGTGTAGCCGGAAATGCTGCCATGGTGATTATTATTGGAAAACATCGATTATATCAGGTAACACCCACGCTTTCCATTACTTTCATCCACTTCATAATTTTTTTTTTTTTTTTTTTTTTTTTTTTTTTTTTAATGTTTGACTTAGAATAACTTATTATATTGTTTTTTATCTTTAAAATTAACATGTGCCGTTATGAAATACTATATCATTAATATCCTAAAGCGTTGTTCGACTCAATTATTTTATGAGCTTTTCTTTTCTGTCTCGATCACAGATTATTTTGTAAAATCCACATAAGTTAATTTCAAACAATACGGCAAATGTTATAAATATTTTAGTACTTTTGAAAATAATATTCGAGTTGTTGCTAATTTCAGCCCAAATACGGGACGCTATTTTTTTTTTTTTTTTTTTCGGTAATTTTAAAGCCCTACCCCGGCTGTCATCGGATCCCTAAACATAACCTACGGATTGAACGGAGTTTCTAGAAAGTGCAGCGAATGCTGGCACTTTGTGTCGCCGGGTGTTTATCGCTCGTTGTTCTGTCTTGGTGGGGCTGAACGTCAGTTAGTCAGTCTTCTAGTTTGCATTATTTTCTTTCGTGTGTGCCCTTTTGTACTCATTATAACTTTCAGATGCATTATCCCTTTTCATTACTGTTCCACAATTGGAAATCATGGGAAATCAAGGATGTGGTATAATTAATGACATGGGGGAAAGACTGAGCGACTTCTGCATGGCGAATAGACTTGTTATAGGAGGAACACTGTTTCCTCACAAGAATATACACAAGCTTACATGGATATCCCCAAACAGAAGAGATGTAAACCAGATCGACTATTTCATGGTAAACAGATAATGGGGTGGGTCCCTAATCGATGTGCGTGTTAAAAGAGGAGCAGACGTAGGAAGCGATGATCACCTTGTTGTTGCTCTACTACATCTTAAACTCAAAAAAGTTCACACGCAAGTTAAGACACAGACACCACGCTACAATGTTAACCTTGTAAGAGAAAATGACATTGCCACTAAATTTATAGTAGAACTCAAGAATAGATTTCAAACCCTATCAAGTGACCCAGACACTCAAACTACAATCAGCATTCAAAACAGATGCAACCAGATCAAAGAAACATACAAATCAACTAGCAATAACATATTAGGAACCAGGAAACAACACCACAAAGTATGGATAAGTAGCCAAACCATAGACTATATTGCCAAGCGAAAAATAATAAAGAGCCTCATAAATCACACCAAATGAGAACGTCAGAAAGACAAACTTATGTTAGAATATAGCGAACTAAATAAAATGACAAAGAAAAGTGCCAGAGCTGACAAGAGAAGATTTATGGAAAATCTAGCAGAAAAAGCAGAAAATGCTGCTAAAGCACATGATCTACAAACCCTACACAACATTACCCAGCAAATTTGCGGAAGCAGAAACAATTATCACAGCATACCCATCAGAGATAACCAAGGCAGACTGCTCATCACAGAACAAAAATAGGACTAAACACTTCTCCGACCTCTTGAACAGACCTGATCCTGAAATTCCCCCAGATATTCAACCAGCCTCTCAGGACATTGACATTATTACTGAACCACCAAGCAAACAAGAAATCCTTAAAGCTATCCACAATTTGAAGAACAACAAAGCACCAGGCAAAGACGAACTGCCAGCAGAACTTCTCAAAGTAGATCCCAACAAAACTGCTAGCATTCAAGAACCATTGTTCTAGGATATTTGGGAAAAAGAAGTGTTGCCTGATAACTGGACTGAAGGAACAATAGTCCAAATCTTAACAGACTGCAATAATTGGAGGGGAATTACTCTACTCTCAGTACCAAGCAAAATATTTTGTAAAATCATCATAATGCGGCTTGAAAAAGGAGTAGATAAATGCCTACCAGTGGAACAAGCAGAATTCAGAAAGGGCAGAGGAACAACTGAGCACATCTTCGCCATACGTAACATTTTAGAACAATGCAATGAATGACAGAGAAATATATATATTAATTTTGTGGACTTTCAGAAAGCTTTTGACAGCGTCCATAGAGACAGTCTGTGGAAAATTTTACGACATTATGGAATTCCAGAAAAATAGTCAACATAATTGTTCTCTTCTATAAAGACTTTTCCTGCAGTATAAAAAATTACAATACATCTTTCCCAGTAAAGACAGGTGTAAGACAGGGATGTGTTATGTCATCTCTCCTCTTCAACCTTGTGATTCATTGGATACTAAAGGACACAGTAGACAGGACATTGAGAGGCATACGATGGACTCTATTCACCATGCTTGAGGACCTTGATTTTGCAGATGATATAGCACTCCTATCACATAAACATGAACATATACAAGAAAAAAGTAACAAACTACACAGCACAGCAGAAATGGTGGGACTGAGAATAAATACAAGGAAAAAAAATACAAGGAAAACTAAGATCATGACAAGCAGTCCAAACCAGCAACCAGTGACCGTAAATAACCAAACTCTTGAAAATGTAGAACATTTTACATATCTTGGGAGTGTGGTGTCCATACCGGGAGGGACCGAAGAGGACATACAGTCACGTCTGAAGAAAGCTAGAGCTGCTTTTGGAAGGATGAGGCAAATCTGGAAATCCAACAATTACTGCAGAGGAACGAAACTCCGACTCTACAAGAGCATCATTTTGCCAGTTCTTCTTTATGGAGCGGAATGCTGGAGAATGACCAAAAAGGATGCACACAAGCTGTCCACCTTCTACCACACATGTCTACGTAGAATTATCAAAATTTTCTGGCCAGATACAATCTAAAACACTAAACTACTTCAAGTCACAAACCAAGAAACTTTAGACAGTATGATTACCAAGAGAATATGGAAATGGCTTGGCCACTTTATGAGAATGACTTCTGATATACCTGCCACAACAGCTCTCACATGGACACCAGAGGGAAAGAGAAAACAGGGGTGCCCAAAAACAACATGGAGGCGAACGATGGAAAGTGACCTGAGTACGGCATCTTTGACATGGAAAACTGCACTGAAGATTGGCCAGGACAGGAAAGCATGGAAAGTCCTCTCTCTCTCTCTCTCTCTCTCTCTCTCTCTCTCTCTCTCTCTCTCTCTCTCTCTCTCTCTCTCTCTCTCTCTCTCTCTCTCTGAAGCCTCGTGTGCCACTAGGCATAACGAGAACTGATGATGATGATGATTAGTATTCTAGACACAATTATGTCCTTTTTTAGTAACATACATACAAATTTCAATACTAAAAGTAGATGAAAAAAAAAGTATTTGTCTAATATAATGATTGCGATGTTTTGTGATATTATGATATTGACATCAGCAATGAAACCTATCTTTTTTTTTCAAGGACCAAACCTACTTTTTAATGACCAACCTTGCAATGGCTGACCTGATCAAGTGCATGGTTGTGCTACCAATAACCCTAGCTAATCTGCTAATTCAGAACTGGCTGTTTGGGAGCTTCCTTTGTTTTTTCTTACCAATGCTCCAGTGCTTTCCGGTTCATGTTTCAATGCTGACTTTTCTTACCATTGCCATCGACAGGTAAAGAAACTGTGTTGTGGACCTATCGTTTATATTCGGTGACAGTATTTTATTCGTTTTTTTTTTTTTTTTTTTTTTTTTTAGGCTTAGTTAACCCTTTTTTAACAGAAGAAGGTAATTTTGATTTGCATGAGATACATGCGAAATACTTGGCCTATGTATTGGATATATCCAGAAAGTTAACGAGACTATAAGTCATGATGCTTTGTTTCATTAGTATGGTACAATACATTTTGGTCATGTAGTTATAAACATTGGAAGCTAAACCGCAAAGAAGTTGGTTCTGATACTTAATACACAAAAACCTGCGACCTTCCAAGACAAGCATTTCAAGTTGTATTTGATCCATGCTATTTCACAGACACTGATTTCACGATATATGAAATATATATATATATATATGAAGGAAATATATGTTAATGAGGAAAGATTGGAAGTGGTGGAAAATTTCGAATATCTTGGGTCACTGGTTACCAACAATGGTGACACAATGAAAGAAATTAAACGGCGACTATCAATTGCTCTTCAAAGACTAAAACAACTGAATAAATTATGGAATTGTACAGATAGAATTACAAAGGTCAGATTTTTAAGAGCATGCATCTTTCCCATTGCAACATACGCCTGTGAGACCTGGACACTTACTAAACAAGCGGAACAGCGCATAAATGCATTTGAATATAAATGTTACAGACAGGTTCTAAGAATATCTTGGGTAAAGAAAAGAACAAATGCATCCATACTTCAAGAGCTGAATATTGAAGAGGGTTGGCTAGTAAAGACAATAAAACAAAGAAAATTGAAATATTTTGGTCACTTGAAACGTCATGGAGGTCTAGAGAGAACAATAATGGAGGGGTATATGCCTGGGAAGAGAGGAAGAGGAAGGCCAAGGAGAAGATGGGTGCAGGATGTGGCAGATGATCTCCAGATGGGTGTATCAGACGCAGGACATCTTGCTCATGATAGGAAGGTTTTCCGGAGGGTTGTTATGGCAGCGAGGTTCCGCGAGGGACATGCTACTGAATGAATGAATGAATGATTTCACGATACCCATTCTAGACGAATACATTGAGAAGCAACAACCTCTCATCTTGAATTTTATTGATTTCAAGAAATCGTCTGACTGCTTCCATAGAATTTCACTATAGAGAATTTTGTAATGTTACTGCATGCCGGCTAAAATAATATGCATCATTAGAAATTAATACTATAATTCAGAATGTGCAGTGGGCACTGAAAATGGTCTAAGTGACTAATAGTGTGTGTGTGTGTGTGTTAGTGTGTGTATGTGTGCGTGTGTGTGTATGTGTGTGTGTAAGTGTAAACTGGAGTGAACCAAGGCTGCATTCTATTTCCCTTGTTGTTTGGAGTAGCCATTGATTAGGTAATGAACAAATATTGCAAAGGCAATACTGTGATTTCTTATTCGTACACTGGCTGTGAATTCAGGCGGAAAGTGCCGGTTGATTGTCCGCTTGGACTTTTGGCTTTTACCTGGACCTGTTTTTTGCGTGTACAACCCTTTTACTGGCTTTTGCTTTTCCCTGCCTCGCGGGCAGATGTTTCCCGACTTCGAGGGAAGACGTCAGGCCTATCTCTAGGATGACTGTGGCCATTGTTGTTGTTGTTGTTTTTTTTTTTTTTTTTTTTTTTTTTTTTTGTGGGTCCTGATGTTGCCTTATTTGTGTGGTATCCTCCTTGTCCCTTTATCTACAGATGTTGCCCCCAAACTACTCCCTTTGGGGCAGCCCTATGTAGAACATTTTGCCCTCAAGCGAAGGCAAAGCAGATCATGGGCATTCCCCGCCATCCAAGGAGGCTTCCATAAATGCAGAGCCAACACGTGCCGCTCTGGTTCTAGGCTCACCCAAGGAATCGTCACGCCCTGCACATGTCTGTTTAACCTCGTATTAGGCCTCCCGCTCGACACGGGCTGCGCCCTCCGAAGATCGGCGGGGAGCAGCCTGCAGGTTAATGACTTTCGTGACCACACAAATAGGTACATTCTTTTTCGTCGCACGACAGTCATCTTTGACTTGCCTGTTTTCATGACAGAATGAAGAATCCTGCGTCAGGCATCTGTTTGGTCCCAACACTTGGGCGAATGGGTCCTCGGGGTGCGGAAATTTTGACTTTTTTCCAGTCAGTACTAATTACGATGGTCAGATTTTGAGCTTGTTCGTGTGCCATAGGATCTATCTTTGTCAGACGTTTGGACTAGCCAGCCGAAGGACAGTTGCTGTCTTGGTGTACCTCAGCGCGGTGACGACGTCGCTGATGATTGATATAGAATGTACATAGGTAGGATCTTGCTGCGAGAAACTACACACTCGTTTGAGCTGCGGGTAAATCTCTTTGTCAAGGGTTGAGTTTCAGCAGCACAGTTTTCCCTTTACTCAACGGACTATTAACTGAGAGTTGTCATTTAGTGGTACATCTGGCAAGTAGACTCTACTCATGTTCCAAATGAGTTTTGGTAGACTTTTTCACCCATGCGTTTGGGGACGGGCTGATGAGAGCCACAAGGACATTATGAGGGCCGCCAACTACGAGATCCCCTGTTAATGCTCGTTTGAGACATTATCGGTGGCGCACGACGAGGACGTGCAGCCGGAGTCTTGCGTGAGGTTCCGTAAAACCAGAACAGTGAAGGACTGGCGCCCGAGTGACGTACGGAGTATCACCTTATACACATCATGTTGGATTTAACTTTACCTCACACCTGTGACAGAAATCACCGGGCCACAATACTACCACTGATTACGTCGATTGTGATAACAAAACACAAAATAACATTTTGTAGGAAGTCGGCATTCCGAAACCCAAGTTCAAGGTGTCTCCTTCGTGCCAAAGAACTGCATGGCTGTTGGGTGAACAGTCGTTAACGAAGGCAGTCAGGTCGTTGTAGGGGCGACGCCTGCTGGTGGATGTAATGTCCTAAGTCCCTTTCCCAGCTAATAGTGAGGGTACTGCTGGGGTGACCATTTGTTAACCCCTCACATAATGCTTCAAGTCACAGTGGACGCTAGGCACGGCCACTTTTTTTTTTTTTTTTTTGTTTTAGCCGTGGCAGTTCTGCCAGGCGGTGGCCGTTGCATTTTTGCTCCATTTGTAGACTGGAAGGATATGGTTTCGTCACCCAGCTTCTGAGTTGAGTGCATGGTGTGACACTGTGAGCTACGAGTGTTTTTCGTTGGCACAGGAGCGGAGCAACAATGGGGTGACCCGTTTGCTATGATGCTGAAACTAGGATTACCAGATTACCAGATTACTACCACTGATTGCGTAGAGAACAGACAACTGGAAGGCCTTGATTTCGCAGATGATATTGTTCTGTTAAGTAAAAAAACAAAAACATGCAAAGAAAACAGATAATTTGTGGTCCATAGCATTAAAATCAGGACTACACCTAAATTATAAGAAAAGAAATATATTACAGATTATTTTTTTTTTTTAAATAGATCATGTAGATGTCATGCAAGAGAACAAACCAATCAAAGTAAAGGACCATTTCACCTATTTGGGTAACAATTTTGACTCACAGGGAGATACAACAAAGGAAATTATGATACTCGTGTGTGTCGTTCAAGCCCTACCAGGACCGTACAACGAGCAACCAACAGCCGGTAAAACTAAGTACCACCATTCGGATGAGGATCATATAGGCAAAAGTCTCAGGAACCCCCATTTGACCGTTAGGTTACATTAGGGCCCTGACTACAGCCAGTGTAAATGTAAAGGACCCCTTTCAGACGTATTGGGCATATAGGGCTAGACCTAAGTTTTATAGACCAAACAACATTTGGTGGGTGATGTGGTCAGCATCCCAACAGCCACCTTTACTTCCCGGGACTGTACCTGGTACCTATTCAAGGTTGGGGAGGCAAGGTCATTTTTTTTTAAAAATCCGGCTGTCATCAGGAACCGAACCCACAACCTCCTGATCCACAGGCGAGCGTCTAGCCGCTAGACCACGGAGACTCCCGTTACATCTGTTGAGGCTTTAAATTAACTAAGGATTGTGTCCCACATCGGGACGGGAATTACAATTATGGCAAAGCAACAACAGTATTTAAAAAACTCAATAAAATATTGAGCTCCAAATTATACAGCTTTAAAACCCTAACCACGAATCTTCAATTCTTACGTTATTTCAGCTCTAACATTTGCCAGCAAAAGTAGGAAAACCATTTTAAAAAATGGCACGAAAGTTAAATGCATTTGAAAAAAAAAAATATCTCAGAAAATCCTAAACATAAAATGGGGTGATTCACAGAGTTAGGAGATCAGAGAACTGTCTGGATATTTACCTGTATCGGCAAAGAAGGTGTGGATATATTGGACACACTTTGAGACGAAATGAGCAAAGATTTACAAAACCATGCGTTGAAATTGGAAACAAGCAGTCTGAGCAAAAGAAGACGTCCAAGAGAAACATCAAGAAAAACATTATTACGATATGCAACAAATGCTGGGCTGAACTCCATCTCAGAAATCGAGAAAGTTGCATGCAATAGAATGGAGTGGATAAATCGAATGCCAGCCCTGTGTGACACACACAGGATAAAGAGGATGATATCGTATGATGCTGTTTGTTTCTCTAACGGTACGCACCGAATTACGCTGTTTACCGGAATACTAAAATCATTTTGGAATCAATCATTTATTTTCAAACTGTATACTTTTATTTTTCCTTGAGTTTATTAATTCGTTGTACGTTAAACGAAGTGAACTGTGATTTCCTTGGTTTGCATGAAACCGTTTTTTCCACTGTACGTCTTAGGGCCTAAAGACAAGTATTGAATATATCTCATAAAGTGTAACTATACTATATAGTTTGATTCCAGCTGTGGCCAGTTTGCCAGCAGATCGCTTTGCGATGATTTCGACAATGGTATTGAGACTAGCCGTTAAATAAGTAATAACAAACTCCTGAACGTAAAATTGTCTAGGAAAACGACAAACAGCCAACGAATGCTGCGGTTGTTTCAGTCCAG